GGGAAAGAGAGAAAGCACTCCCCAGGTGGGATGATCACACTGCAGTTCCTTCTCCTCCGTTCTCCTCTCAGGATTTTGGGCGTGCATGCACAGGCACCTGGCACGTTTTCCAAGCCACTGGGTACAGGCCTCTACCTGCACAGTTGGCCACATGGGATCCAGACGCCTCAGCCACCATGCCCCGGCTGGCCCTTCTCCACACTTATAAGGCTGTTCAGTGAGGCTGACTTAGTGGAGGTCCTATCCCGGAGTCCTCTGCCACCCTCGCTGGACACCCCGTGCCAGCTCAGCAGCACCCCACTTCGCCCTCTGCTCCCCCTCACCCTGGGCTGACTGGTTTACTTCGACTGACCACTTATTTTCACTTTCGTTTTCAGAGTGTCCGCAGCTCCAGTGAGCTCCTTAAGAACCTGCACCTGGACATCGGGGCCCTGGGGGGTGACTTTGAGTATGAGGTAGGAGCCCAGAGCCCTGCAGGTAGTATCTCTGCCTGCCTGCTTCCTCCTCCTTTCTTAGTAAGGCTTTCTACTGTGCGGGATGCATGTTTGAAGAGAGAACCATTTTATCCTAGACCTGTCAAGATGGGATTTCTACAGCTTGGGTAGGGATAAGAGAGGAAGAGAATCTGTTCATTTACTCATTTTTCAAGTAATTCCGTTTACCGGCTGTTTCCACGTGAGGCACTTTGCTAGGTGCTCCAGGCCATCCGGGTATAAATGCGATATGATTTCTCTGAGATTCCGATCTCCCAGGTGAGGGCTTAAATGATAGGACACAGGGTGGAATGTGATGAGGCCATAGGAAGCGGGAAGCTAGGGGGCTCCTGTTCCTCTGGATCCACCAGGAGGGGCTTTGTAGAGAAACTGACATCTGAGGTGAGCTGGGAAGGATGGCAGGCAGGCCTAGACGGGGAGAGCCGAGTGGTGAGAATCTAGTTGCCTCCCCACAGGCAGAGGTAGAAGGTGTGGGGTGAGTTGGGGGCAGACGAGGCATTTCCATGGACTGGGGTTCAGAACGTGTGTGGGAGGTGAGCTTGGAGGCAGAACTGGTTCTGGGGTACCCGAGTGCAGGCCAAGAGTTTTGGATCGGATAACACAGGCACTGGGAGCGGTCAGAGGTGTGGCATGTGGGTGTGACATCTTCCAGAGTATAACGTGCTAAGTGGCCCTGCCAGGCTACCTTGGTCAGGGTACCATACCAAGTTTGGGAAATTCAGTCGTTAATAGGACAAAGGCCTGGCTGTCCTCAGAGGTTTGTAGCTGGAGAGAGACAAAGGACGCTAGGCACTTGGTACTTAGTAAGCACTCGGTGAATGTCGAATGAATGTCTATACTTAGGAAGCCGTAAAGCAGAGCAGTATGCGTCAGGGGCTTTATGGTACAGGGACGCTGTTTGCAGGAGTTCTGCAGAGGAAGAAATTACTTGCCAGAGAGAACATGATGGAAGTGATGACATTCCACAAGGGTGCCACCCCCCCTTTTTTTAAGAGGTTTTGACCTTAGGGCACATGCACTTGCCAGAGAGGGAGAGACAGACAGTGAAAGGGAGAGTGAGAAATCACCCCCCAGGAGGGATGGATACACCGCAGTCCTTTCTCCTCCATTCTCCTCCTGGGATCTTGGGACACACACATATGCGTTGGCATGTTTTAAGCCATAGGGTCCAGACTCCAACCGTGGTCGGTTATGTGAATCCAGTGACATAACTGTTACGCCGTCTACTGGCCAGCTGAGCATCACGCCACCTGGGCTACTTGACCTGGGTCTTGAAGTGTTGGTAATCTTTGGCACAGAAGATATAAGGGGGTGTGCCACACTAGGTAAGGGAATAGCTCGAGTAAAGACACAGGGCTGGAAACTGCAGAATATGGATTGGGCTAGCTTCTGGAACACCCTCTCAACTTCCGATCACTTTTCTCTGCATTCTGTCCTCCCCTGCCACCTGAATGTTCTTTTGAAAAACGAACATCAAAACTCATCATATCACCATAATGCCTAAAATGCCTATATTCTCCAATGTGTTTTTTGTACATGCAAAGGAGTGTTCTCTAGTGTTTGATCTTTGTATGGTGTGCAAGTTATTAATTTTAAAGAATTAACATGTATGTTTCTCTTCTCTTCTCATCTCTTCTTTTCTTTTCTTTCTTTCTTTCTTTCTTTCTTTCTTTCTTTCTTTCTTTCTTTCTTCTTTTTAAACTTTTTTTTGCTATAAGGCCATGTGCTTGCTGGAGAGACAGAGAGACAGAAAGTGAGAAATCACCCCCTGGGAGGTTGGCCATGCCACAAATCCCTTTTCCTTCATTCTCCTCTCCAGATCTGGGGCACACACGTACATGCACCCAGCATGAGTTTTAAGCTGCAGGGTCTGGGACTTGAACCATGGTCAACTACATGGGAGTCAAGAGACATAACCATTATGCCATCTATTGTTCCCCAATATTTCTGACTTATTTACATAGCTAATGAATCATGAAGTCAAATCGCTGGATTTTCCTAAACATTTAAATATTGACTGAAGACTCAGTAAGTTAAACTTTTCTCAAGTCTATATAAAATTCTATTTTCCCCTCATAGGGCACATGTGTTCATCAGAGAAAGACACAGAGAGGGAAAGTGAGAAACCATCCCCCTGGGGAGATGACTACATTGCAACCTCTTCTCCTCCATTTTCTTCTTGGGATTTTGGGCATGCATGTGGATGTACCTGGCATGATTTTCAAGCTTCCATGTCTGGGACTCAAACCGCGGTTGGCCATGTGGGAGTCCCAGTGCTTTAGACACTATGCCACCTGCTGACCCCTTCAGATTCCTTTTAATTTTTGGGGGAGAGGTTTTTGCTCTAGGGCACGTATACTCACCAGAAAAACAGAGAGACAGAAAGCAAGAAATCACCCCCCAGGAGGGATGGCAATGCCACAGTCCCTTCTCCTTCATTCTCTTCTTGGGATCTTGCACACGCATGCACACACGCCTGGCGTGAGTTTAAGCCACTGGGTCCAGTACTTGTACCGCAGTCGACTATGTGGGAGTCCAGCGACATAGCCATTATGCCAACTGCTGGTCTTAAGTCCTTTAAATACCTTCAACTTTGTTGAATCAGTCACTCATACTTAATTGGAATGATCATGAAATTGGACAGTAAAACAAAAGAGCTCGTATCATGGATTTAATTTGTTTCTTTCTTGTCTCTTACATTTCTGACTCTTTTGAAAATTTTTTTTAATTACCAGAAGGCATGTTGTTTGTCAGAGAGAGAGAGTCCTTCAAATGAGGCTGGTCATGCCACAATCCTTTTTTCCCCTTCATTTCTTCCTGTCAGGATTTTGGGCATACACATGCATGCATCTGATGCGTTTCTCAAGCTGCTGGGATCAGGATCCAAACCATGGTCAGCCATGTGGGAGCCGGATCCCAATGCACCATGCTTAATCTCTGTGCTGCTGGCCAGCCCTCTTAGTCTTCACCTTACCTGGAGAGCCAGGGTGGCTGTCTCAGGCCAGCAGAGGGGTCAGAAGCTGGCTGACAAGCTCTGCTTTGATACTTGAGACCCGACCCCTGGGTAGGCCTTCCAAAGTGACTCAATTCTACCCATCAGGTGGAATCCTTTTCATAGCTAGACTTTGCCTAGCATCTCAGAAACTTCCGGCTCTGCACGTTTAGATATGTCTTGATTGTGACTAACACTTCATTGCCAACAGTGGCATTTTTGTCTGAGTGTCCCATCTTGTTCATCAACCTGATTTGTGTCTACTTCAAGACTGTTCCTTGTGAGTGGGTCCTAGTCTGGGTGGGTTAAATCCAAAGCCTTCCATCTGTTTATTTCCTTGAAAGGACAAGCTTGTTTTCTTTTCACCCATAAAGGCCTGCATTGATGGCATCAGGGGGTTGCTCAGACTGTACGTCCAGGTGGATGATTACAAGTAGGAATGGGGTTCCGGAGGGCTGACTGATGTTCGAGAAAAAGGGTAGTTTCCATAAGACTGAGCAAGGTGAGGGTAAAGAGTCCACCTCACTCGGTCTGTCTGTCTGTCTGGGCAGCACCCAGCCTTGGGCTAGAGCATAGGAAACACTCACGTGGGTATTTTTATTTTGGTTTTGAGAAAGGTTTTTGCTATAGGGTGTACGTACTCACCAGAGAGACAGAGACAGAGAGACAGAAAATGAGAAGTCACCCCCGGGGGGGAATGACCATGCCACAGCTCCTTCTCCTTCATTCTCTTCTCGGGATTTTGGGCACGCATGCAGATGTCTCCAGTGTGAATTTTAAGCGGTCGGGTCCAGGACTCAAACCACAGTCGACTATGTGGGAGTCCAGCAACGTAACCATTATGCCATCTGCTGGTCCCCACTTGGGCGTGTTTCGTTCAGCAGCTGAAAGAACGAATACTTGAATGAGTAAATGAATCATGTAGGGACCAGGAGAAGACCGAGGCAGGTTGTGTTGTATTTTTTCTTCCTTGGCTTCCCCAGGTTTTGGGCAGAGTGGGTGCTGGGTCTCTACTGTTAACTGGTAGATTTAAGATCCCAAAGTAGCTTAATCATGATTCACGCTGACCATGGTCTAGTTAACTTTCACTTCATAGTGGATTATAAATGTCAACAAAAAAAATGGCATTTTCTTCTTTAACTGGTCCAAGATTTCTAAAAGCTTTCTTCTGAAGATTATGCACTTCTTTTGGGGGAGTGGGAACTCTTAAGCATTTTTATAACCTCTTCAATATAAATAGGCAGCCCAGTGTGATGGGGAAATGTCTGGAGTAGGCGGTGTTGATACACCTCCCACCCCTGTCTCTAGCATCGCAGCAGATTTATCATTTTGTCACATGCAGTGTTGGCCTCTGTGTTGTAACCTCAGACTGGAATTAGGGCTTTTCCTGCTGGGCAAAGTTAGTGTGGGAACGTGTGAGGGCTTCAGGACAGGCCCAGCTGCCTCCATCTGGGCCCTGCCCTTTGGAAATGGCTTGTGTCTGAGCATCTAGGCCTTGGGCCCTTTGAGCAGCCCTCCTTTCCCTAACTGGGTCCAGTACTTGTACCGCAGTCGACTATGTGGGAGTCCAGCGACATAGCCATTATGCCAACTGCTGGTCTTAAGTCCTTTAAATACCTTCAACTTTGTTGAATCAGTCACTCATACTTAATTGGAATGATCATGAAATTGGACAGTAAAACAAAAGAGCTCGTATCATGGATTTAATTTGTTTCTTTCTTGTCTCTTACATTTCTGACTCTTTTGAAAATTTTTTTTAATTACCAGAAGGCATGTTGTTTGTCAGAGAGAGAGAGTCCTTCAAATGAGGCTGGTCATGCCACAATCCTTTTTTCCCCTTCATTTCTTCCTGTCAGGATTTTGGGCATACACATGCATGCATCTGATGCGTTTCTCAAGCTGCTGGGATCAGGATCCAAACCATGGTCAGCCATGTGGGAGCCGGATCCCAATGCACCATGCTTAATCT